ATTAGGAATACTTTTAAATAAGGTAATGAATGATTTATATCTTGAAAACTATAAGATATTGATAAAAATTGAAGACACAAATAAATGTAAATATATTCCATGTTTATTGATTGAAAGGCTTAATATTAACAAAATGCCTACATTATACAAAAGTATATAGAGATTCAATACAATTCCTACAAAACTCCCAAAGTTTTTTTCACAAAGAGAAATCAACCCTCATATTTGTATGTAACAAATGACCCCAAAAAACAAAAGCAATCTTGAGAAAGGGAAACAAAACGAGAAGCCTCACATTTCTTGATTTTAAAGTTTATTACAATGCCATTGTAATAAAAAGAATGTGATACTTTCAGTAAAAAAAAAAAAAATACACAGAGACCAATGAAACAGAATTGATTGTCCAAAACTAAACTCATGCATATACAGTCAACTAATCCTCGAGGGTACAGGACGCACAGTAGGGACATGATAGTCTCTTCAAAAAATGGTGTTGGTAAAACAGGATATCTACATACAAAAGAATAAACTGGACCCTTGTCTTACACAATAGACAAAAATTAACTCAAATATATTAAAGACTTAAAGTAAGATGTGACACAATAAAATTTGTAGAAAAAAATCATAGAGAGAAAGCTCCATGACAATGAGTTTGAAAATGTTTATTTGGCTATGACACCAAAAGCACAGGTAACAAAAGAAAAAAAAAATCCCAAAACAAAAAACAAGTGAGATTACATCAAACCAAAAAATCTTCTGCATAACAAAGGAAATAACAGAATAAAGAGGCAACCTATGGAATGAGAGAAAATGTTTGCAAACCATAAACTATCTCCTATGAGATTAATGTCCAAAATATGTAAGGGGCTCATGCAATTAAGTAGCAAAAAATCAACCTGATTAAAATATGGGCAAAGAATATGGATAAACATGTTTACAAAGAGGACATAGAAGTGGTCAACCAATATATGAAAAGGTGCTCAATGTCACTAATTATCAGAGAAATGAAAGTCAAAACCATGATGAAATATCACCTCACACATGTTAGGATGACTACTATCAAAAAACCAGAGATAACAAGTGTTGGCAAGAGCATAAAGAAAGGGAGCCCTGTACACAGTTAGTAGCAGTGGAAATTAGCTCAGCCATTATGCCAAAAAATTTAAAACAGAACTACCTTATGATCCAGGTATCTCATTTCTGTGTACATATACAATCAATACGTCAAAGAGTTATTTGCATTTCTGTTTGTTGCAGCACTATTCACAATAGACAAGATATGAAAACAACCTGAGTGTCCGTCAATTAATGACGCTTACGTTCAAGAAAATATGGTGTATGGTATATATATACACATACTATATACAAATGCACACCCACATGGTATATTAATCAGCCATAAAAAGAAGGAAATCTTGCCATCCATGAGAACATAGAAATTAGCTTATTTCTAAGATTCCATATGAGACAACATAGATATTTACATGACTTACTTCATTTAGCATAATGGAGAACTTGGAGTGCATTAAGAGGGTGGTTGCCAGGAATTGGGGAAATTGGGTAGATTTTAGGATACACATTTTCAGTGATTAGATGAATAATTTCTGAGGATCTAATGTACAACATTGTTACTATAATTAATGATACTGTATTGTTTACTTGATATTACTAGGACAGCAGAGCTTAACTGTCCTCGCTTCACACACACACATACACACTGGCAGAAATAGTAACCATGTGTGGTGAAATGTGTTAGTTAATTTGATTGTGGCAATTATTACTCAATGCACATGCATATCAATCATGTGGTTATACATTTAATATACACAAATTTTGTCAATCACACATCAATAAACCTGGAAAAAACAATGTTAATTTGAAAATATCTGATTCATTAGTCATTTGCATCTCACTATCAAATACTGGGAGGCAACTCGATGAATATTTTCAAGTTGGTGTTTGAATATATGTAATATTTACATTATAATTGAGTTATTTACAGTGCTTTTCATGATAATGAGAGTTAGATGAACATATTTTGTTACATGGAAAATTTATTTATGAAAACTGTTTGCTGCCTCCAGTTATCTGGACAGTAAGTTCATGCCCTTATATTTGTTTATTATTTCTATGCTTTACAAAGCATCTTCATGTACATGATTGCATTTAATTTTCCCAACAACCCTCTGTAGCAGGTAGGACAGGTGTAATTCCCATTTTGCATTTGAAGAAGGTGGCATAGATTATTTAATTGCTTTGATTAAGGTCTCAGAATTAGTTAACTCAGAACCTGATCTCCTGATTCCAGTTTCCCTCATTATACTGCCTCCATATGTTTATCTTCAAATAGCAGAGAATCGCTATTTATTATATGGTTTTAGTTTTGAGTTCCTGTGCAGAGAAAATGAATAAGTGAAGACACCTTGGCAGCATTTTACAAGCATTTTAAATATGTCAATGTGTTCATAACTAGTTGAAAAATGTAATTCTATAAATTCATTATGATTGCTAGTGTCATTTTGTCCTTGTGTATCTTTCAGTTTTTCAAGTATGTAAGTAGCAATCTTGGTTGGTTGTTTTATGGGGTACTCACATGCAGTTTGAGAGGACCCCACTAATAGTCTTTTTGAAAATCATTACCATAATAATCTTTATTTTTTCATTTAGGTTTAAGTTTAGCTGTAGCAGAGATTCAAAATAGCAATAACTTTACAAAAACAATATAGTTGATTATGGGACAGGCAGTCCAGCTCATGGAAGAGAAATTCATAAATCGACTGGGCAATTTAGATTTGTTATATACAGTTTCTTTGCCATCCTCAACATATATTTTCAACTTCATTGTCCAAAATGTTTGCTGAACTGATCTCAGCTACTATACTTGCGGAAAAAGTAAAGAACATGTCTCCTCCCTTTTAAGGGATTTTAAGCAATCATGTACATGAAGATGCTTTGTCCCTTTTAAGGACATTTGCCAAACATTGTTTATGATGCTACTTTCATTTTACTGGTTGAGAGTATAGTCACATGACCAAAGCTAATGCAAAGGAAGCTAAGAAATACTGTATTTATTCTAAGTGGCCAATATGCCCAATCAAAATTTATGGTATAATACTAAAGAGAAAAAGAATAAGAGTATTGTGGGGATATTTTTCAATCTTTGTGGATCTCTATCAACCTTCTTTATAAGGGGATTTAGATTTAGTCTCAGGACACCAACTCCTATTCTTGCCAATAAATTGCAAGGAACTTGCTTAGTTGTGAGAACTTCTACTGATATTTGAAAATTAGAGAAAAAGAGGAAGAGAATATCCATCTGTTTTTTTCAGAATTCCACATATTTTCTTCTTCAAACATCTCCACTGAAATTGTCTAAAAGGATTCTTCTCTATTGTTATTCTCCCAGAACAAGGTCAACTATATCATGCCTCCTCAAGGCCATGCAGCAGGATGCAATACATTAACTATTAATGTTTCCACATTTTCCCTATTCACTTATATAATTTTGAACTGACTGATACAAAAACATAACATAAGAAGTTCATCCCATGAAATTAAATTCAGACACAAAAACATAAACTGAAATAAAAATCAAGAAACACAAATAGTTGAAAATTTTCTTTTTGATCACATATTCTCTAGTTCATCAACAGAGGGCACTGTAGGTTTATTTCATTTTTTTTGGTTGCTCTACTTTTCAATTACAGCTTCCTTATGTTTGGAAGTACACCATATTATCCAGGGTCAAATAAATAATTGGTATATTGTATCTGTGAAATATACCATAGATCATTGATCTGTAACACCAGAATCCTCAAGTCACTTGAGTATTAACGTAATTAACATAGTATTTAATGGTTAACATAAATTAACACATTATTTTGCTGAGGATATGCTACTTTAATTATATGTAAAATTACATATAAAATTAATTATTTATTTATATATAGTCTGGAAAGTATTAAGAGACTTAGAAAAGAAACTGCTTTTAGCTTTTTCCCTCAGAATGAACTACATGTTCAGTTTAAATTAAGACTTTAACAATTCATTATGTCTATCACTGAAACATTGAAATGCTAACTTGAACATTTTCTTAAAATATAATTTTCAGCCTATTCATAACTTTTAAAAATAGAAAACATAAAATTTTAAAAATTTTCCTTAATATCAGTTGGAAATTTAAGTAAAATATATGGTTTTGCTAGTAACATCTATACTTTACTTTTCTAAAAATAATTTTTTTACATTTAAAAATTTATTTTTTAATTTTTATGAATACATAATAGTTTTACATGTGATATTTTGATACAAGCATACAATGTATAATGATCAAATCAGGGAAAGTAGAAAAGCTATCACCTTAAGTGTTTATCATTTCTTTGTGTTAGGAACATCCTGATTTCACTCTCCTAGTTATTTTGAAATATGTAGAATGTTATTGTTATCTGCAGTCGCCCTATTGTTCAACCAAACACTATATCTTACTTTTTCAATCTAACTGGATTTTCGTACGGATTAACCAGCCCCTCTTTATTTCCCCTTAAGCACTACCTTTCCCAGAGTCTGGTAACCATCCTTCTACTCTCTATCTCTATTAGTTCAATAACTTTTTAGCTTCCACACATGAGTGAGGACACACAATATTTGTTTTGCTCTGCCTGGCTTATTTTAATTAACATAATTTCCTCTAATTTCATTCATGCCTCTGTAAATGATAGACTTTCCTTTCTTTTTAAGTCTGAATTCTATTGTGATATGTACCACATTTTTAAATCCATTCATCCTTTAGTGAACACATAGGTTCACTATCTTGGCTATTTTGAATAGACCTGCAATAAATGTGGGAGTGCAGATATCTATTTGACACACTCCTTTATTTTGGATATATTATACACAGCAGTGAGATTGCTGGATCATATGATAGTTCTATTTTTAGTTTTTTTTTTTTGAGGAATATCAATACTGTTCTCTATAGTAGCTGAACTACTTAACATTCCTACCAGGAGTGTACAAAGGTTCCCCTTTCTCCACCTCCTCTTCAGTATCCATTATTGCCTCTCTTAAAAAAATGTGGGTGCATAATAGGTGTATATATGTATGGGTTATGTAAAATACTTTGATAAAGGCATGCAATGCATAATAATCACATCGGGGTAAATGAGATATTCATCACCTCAACATTTATCCTTTGTGTTACAAAAATTCCAATGTACTCCTTTAGTTATTGCCTGTTGTTTTGATAAAAGCCATTGTATCTGGAATAAGATCATATTATCCTGTGGTTTTAAACTGCGTTTTCTCCAATGATTGGTGATGTTGAACATATTTCCACATACCTGTTGTATATTTGTATGTCTTATTTTGACAAACATTTACTAAGATCTTTTGTCCATTTTTAATAGAATTATTATTTTGCTAGGGAGATTTATCTCCTAATATATTCTGGTTATTAATTCCTTGTGGCAATATTTTCTTCCATTCTGTGGACTGTCTCTTTACTTTGTTGATTGCTTCCATTGCTGTGCAGAAGCTTTTTAGTTTGATGTAATCCTATTCGTAAAAAATACTTTTTTTGAGGTAGGGGTCTGTGTGTGTGTGTGTGTGTGTGTGTGTGTGTGTGAGAGAGAGAGAGAATGCACACGTGTGTGTGTCTATGTGGTGCCTTAAAATGCCTTTGTAAAGAAAAATATGAGATAAACTGGAACAAAAAGAAACGTTCCAAACAAATCCAAGAAATGCCAGAGGAGTCCATTCATTACTTCACATTCATTCAATAAATAGTTACTGAATATTTACCCTGTACCAGACACTGTTCTAGATAGTAGAGATAAAATAGTAGAGAAAATAGACAAAAATCCTTCTTGCAGCTTATATTCTATTGTAACACTATGTACAAATTCCCTAATATTATTTACATTTTTAAAAAAAGATTTTCAAGGATACATAATTATTAGATTTAAAAATCACATAATGGAATGGTTTCTTGAAGCTAATAGAACGTTGATATAAAATCTTGCCAAATATAGCACAGGTAATTTAAGGACTGATTCATTTAAAATTCAAAAAGTCCTAAATAAATAACTAGGCAAATAAAATACGGAAAAATAAAATGAAGATAATATCACCAACCCATCTTATTTCAAGAATATCAAAACGACTACAATAGAAAGTCTCTTACTATATCACATCCAAAAGAAAACTAAGTTATACGATTATCCCAATAGATGTCCATAGAGGCATTTTCTGAATTTCAGCACCGATTTCTCAGTTTTTTTTAAAAAGCATTCGTTTTTCAAAAGACTGACCATGAAAGAATAGTTCCTTAATATTAGTATGTTCAACTAAAAACAATAACAAATATCATTCATAATAGTGAAACACTGGAGACATTATAATAAAATCAGTAACAAGACAAGCATGCTACATCAGTATAATTGTTTAATACTGGTGTAAAAATACCAATACATGTAACGAGAAATAGGCACATAGAAAATCTTAAAAATTCTATATAAAACATTAGAACTAATGAAAAAGTTCAGTGAAGTGTCTATATGCAAAATGTATGAACAGACTAAAGAGATTTCCTAAAAACTGATCATAAGTAGTTAGAAAATAGTGTAGGCCAAAATAAGATTCACATACAAGGTAATATAATACACAAAGTACTCAGAAATAATAAAAATTGTCTGAACAAAATTACGAAACTTTACCGGGGGAGGTACAAGATTTACATAAATGTAGAAGAGTAACATGTTCAGGGAAAGGAAGACTAAATACTATGAACATGCCAAGTTTTTCAAAACTCAAATGTTAAGTTTACTGTAATTCAGATTGAAATCCCAATAGGATTCTTGAAGCTTGGAAAAATAATTTTTTTTTTTTTTTTGAGACGGAGTTTCGCTCTTGTTACCCAGGCTGGAGTGCAATGGCGCGATCTTGGCTCACCGCAACCTCTGCCTCCTGGGTTCAGGCAATTCTCCTGCCTCAGCCTCCCAAGTAGCTGGGACTACAGGCACGCGCCACCATGCCCAGCTAATTTTTTGTATTTTTAGTAGAGACAGGGTTTCACCATGCAGATCAGGATGGTCTCGATCTCTTGACCTCGTGATCCACCCGCCTCGGCCTCCCAAAGTGCTGGGACTACAGGCGTGAGCCACCGCTCCCAGCCTGGGAAAATAATTTTAACATTCATCTGGAAGTTTTTAAACATGACACAGCCAGGAATTTTTAAAATTAGAAATCAATGCTATTCCCATAAAGTTACCATTTACCTTCTTCATAGAACTGGAAAAAAAACACTTTAAACTTTATATGGAACCAAAAGACAGCCCACATGGCCAAGACAATCCTAAGCAAAAAGAACAAAGCTGGAGGCATCACGCTACCTGACTTCAAACTATACTACAAGGCTACAGCAATTAAAACGACATGGTACTGGTACCAAAACAGAGACATAGACCAATGGAACAGAACAGAGGCCTCAGAAGTAACGCCACACATCTACAACCATCTGATCATTGACAAACCTGATAAAAACAAGCAATGGGAAAAGGATTCTCTGTTTAATAAATGGTGTTGGGAAAACTGGCTAGTCATGTGGAGAAAGCTGAAACTAGAACCCTTCTTTACACTTTACACTAAAATTAACTCCAGATGGATTAAAGATTTAAACATAAGACCTAACACCATAAGAACCCTAGAAGAAAACCTAGGCAAAACTATACAGGAATAGGTAAAGACTTCATGACTACAACAACAAAAGCAATGGTAACAAAAGCCAAAATAGACAAGTGCAAACTAATTAAGCTTAAGGGTTTCTGCACAGCAAAAGAAACAATCATCAGAGTGAACCGACAACAGAATGGGAAAAAAATTTTGCAGTCTACCCATCTGACAAAGGGCTAATATCCAGAATCTACAAAGAACTAAACCAGATCTACAAGAAAAAAGCAAACAAACCCATTCAAAAGTGGGTGAAAGATATGAACAAATACTTTTAAAAGGAAGACATTTATGCTGCCAACAAACATATGAAAAAATGCTCATCACTGGTCATTAGAGAAATGCAAATCAAAACCACATTGAAATACCATCTCACACTAGTTAAAATGGCAATCATTAAAACATCTGGAGACAACAGATGCTGGAGAGGATGTGGAGAAATAGGAACACTTTTACACTGTTGGTGGGAGTGTAAATTAGTTCAACCATTGTGAAAGACAATACGGCGATTCCTCAAGGACTCAGGAATAGAAATTCCATGTGACTCAGCAATCCCATTACTGGGTATATATCCAAAGGATCATAAATCATTCTATTATAAAGGCACTGCACACATATATTAATTGTGGCACTGTTTACAATAGTAAAGACCTGGAACCAACCCAAATGCCTATCGATGATAGACTGGACAAGGAAAATGTAGCACATATACACCATGGAATACTATGCAGCCATAAAAATAGATGAGTTCGTGTCCTTTGTAGGGACATAGATGAATCTGGAAATCATCATTCTCAGCAAACTGACACAAGAACAGAAAATCAAACACTGCATGTTCTCACTCATAGGAGGGTGTTGAACAATGAGAACATGTAGACTCAGGGAAGAAGCATCACATACTGAGGTCTGTTGGGGGGCAGTAGGGGAGGGATAACAGGGAGTGGGGAGGTTGGGGAGTGATAACATGGGGACAAGTGCCAGATATAGGTGACAGGGGGATGGAGGCAGCAAACCAAATTGCCATGTATGTACCTATGCAACAATCCTGCATGATCTGCACATGTACTCCAGAACCTAAAGTACATTTAAAAATATATTTTTCCAACAAAATAAAATAAATTTCCATTTTATGTTTATATATGAATTATTGATGATAAAAGTTCAGCTATTATCAGATAACAAATATTTAGTTGATTGAAATATGTTTGTCCTCTAAAACCTTACTACTCAAACTGCTCCAAAATTAGCAGGCATGGACATCACCATGGAGCTTGTTATAAATGTCAAATTGCAGGCCCCAACCCAGCACTACTAAATGAAATATGCATTTTAGCAAGATGCCAAGTGAGTCATATGCACATTAAAGTTTGAGAAGCACTTATTTAAATGACTCCTTAAAAAATGGAATACTTTTGACATATGAAAGTGGTTCAAGTCTGGGCAAGAAAGAAGAGGATTACCATAGCAGAATACCTTGAACAGCAGAAAAACAAAGGCATCAAGTTGACAGCAGAAAAACGAAGGCACTAAGGAGAGAAGACAGGAGGGATCCAGAAGGGATATAAAACCTATTTCACAATTCCTCAGAAATATATATCTTTCATGACAAAAGTGAGTTATTAATATAATGAAAAACACACACACAGAGCCAGCATAACTTCAATGCCATGGAAACTATATTTCTTTTTATTTAAATTTTTATTGTTTTAAAAGAACAATCTATCATAAGCTTTTAAAACTTCCTGAGGCCCTAGAATTATGATGAAATTTACCTGTTGGTTCACATTTATCCTGCCAAGCATAAAATACCTTATTACTTCTAGTACATAAATCTAGGACATATTCTACTTTAAAAGCCTTATTTTTGATAACTCATTGCCATTAAGCCACATTTATTAACAGAAAATAGATTTTATTTAATCAATGAAACCTTCGTTTTTGTATAAATCAAAGCCTTTTTGAAGTTTTAATAATCATTCTATTAATTTTATAGCAGAGCGTTTTCTGTCTCTTTTTGGGGGGATTTTAGTCCATGATGTGAATTAGTTCACTAGATGAGAACAAGTTAAAAACAATCAAATTTTGGAAGTGATCTTCAGAAGACCTACTTGAAGAAGTGCCAAGAAGCTTTGTTTTAGTGATGTTGTCTTAGTGATTCACAGCATAGTATCATAAGCATTGCTTCTGTAAAGGCATATTATCTTTACTATTGTAAAATGGATGGCATGTAAGTCACAGTGTGAAGCAAAATTAAGCAAATCAGAAAACAGTATAGATTCTCTATTATTAACAGAATATATAGGAGCCATGTGAGTTCATATATTTGT